TATGCCCTCGGCATGTCATTTGCAATCTTTACCGTGATCTACGAAGTTTGGACAATGGTCATCTACTGTCTTCCTCCTAGTTACCCCGTTTCTGCTGAGAACGCGAACATGACGCCAGTGTTCCTTGGTGCTGGCACTCTTCTCAGCCTAGTAGGCTGGCACTTCTACGGCCGACATCACTACCGGGCTGAGATGGCGGGAGCTGTATCGCAACACTGACCTGTTGAGGGCGCGGTAACTCCTCATCGAAGGACTCGAAAGTATCAAGTAGGCCATTGCGTGATAAGTGTTAGATAAGCCCTAATACTTGTGCGCAATATCAAATCCTCATATTCGAAGAGATACTTCCCGTCACCTGGAGTGTTGTTGACGTTTGGTAAATGCTTGTTGTTCAATGCATGTTGAGGACGATGTGGGTTCAGCCTAGATATGCATCGTTGGCCGACCTTCATTGTGACAGAAGCACGTAGGACCGGACTTAACGAGTGTCCCAGAATGAAATCTGGCCTGTTGATGTTGTTGGTCGGTTGGTCGTCTTGCATGTGAGATGGGTGGCGAAGCAGGGATCCCCGCAGCCTCAAGACCTTCCGCATACGTCCTGCATGAGCAACCAACCGCATGAAGATTACTTTCATCACTGCTGACTTCTTCGTAAACTCGAAACTGCTCAGACGAAAAGAAAAGAGAACGCGTAGCAGTGGCGTCGTGAGCATCGTACTAGCGTATGGACAGATCTGGAGATCCTGGACACCGCATCAAGACAGTGATCAGACCACATCAAATGGCCGTCGAATCGTAAGACGAGGCCTTCGATGACCTCACATGCATGAAATAACCCGCCCAGCCCTTCTTGGCAACCAACCGCCCACATATGGCGGGGAGGGCTGGGCCGCCTACCGCATGCCAGTGTGGTATAAAGCCGAGACTCCCCAAAGCCGGCGATGCGGGGTTGCATGTTTTTTCAAATACCACTCAGGCAGAAATCGCGACAGCTTTCACCATGGCGGATAATCAAGATACAACCGGGCCTGTCCTCGTTGCGGATGACGTGGTGAGTGCGACAGTTTCTTCCGGTAGAGCTGAGCTCGACGAAGGCTAACAGCCCTTCGCAAGGATGACCAGAACGATCCCACGCTCACCGAGGTCAGTGAATTGAAGAAAATCCTCAGCACTACCAGTGAAATTGACAGGCTTGTAGGACGCAGCTTCTTCGACGGCCAGCGTCAGTACCTCCATCTACAACTATCGCCGAGAGAATGGCCGGACGTATCACGCATACAAGGACGGTAGTACGTATTGAACAAGGACTTGGGGCCGCAGTCGGCTAATCTTACTTAGAATACGCTCTGCCAAACGATGAGCAGGAGAGCGATCGGCTTGGTATGTCTAATCTTCTTAGGGCCTACACCTGGATATGACTTCAATGTTCTCACACGCACTCCTACAGACCTGCAACACAACCTCTTCGTCATCACCTTTGACAACAAGCTCGGCTTTGCGCCTCCTAATGACGCCGGTTCAGACGTTAAGAATGTCCTCGACATTGGTACCGGGACCGGAATCTGGGCCACCGACTTTGGCGATGAACATCCAGGGGCTAAGGTACGAAGCCTGGCGGCACAGATTGGAAGATCCCTCAAACTGATGTGTTCAGGTCATTGGTGTCGACCTTTCACCCATTCAATCCAGCTTGCAAGTCATCGGCCTGTCATCTATGACCTTCGCTAACTTTGCGAAGCGTCCCTCCCAACGTGACCTTCCAGATCGACGACATTGAAGAGGAATGGACATTCTCTCACAAGTTCGACTACATTCACAGCCGCTTCATGAACTCCAGCATTGCCAACTGGCGTGAACTCTTCAAGAGATGCTTGGAGTATGGCCCCTCCCTCGATCTGCTCCCACTTTACTGACTCGGCCCTTTTCTAGGAACCTCGAGCCAGGCGGTTTCTTCGAAATTCAGGAAGCTGACCTCAGCGTCGTTTCAGATGACGACTCCATCCCCAAAGACAGCGCGCTCAGCAGGGCCTTTGACCTCCTCCTCGAAGCGTCCGTCAAGTTCGGCCGCGCCTTCCAGAGCGTTCCCGAGCTCGCCGAGATAATGAAAGAGGTCGGCTTCGTCGATGTCACGATCGAGCGTCTCAAGTGGCCGATGAACCCTTGGCCCAAGGACAAGAAGCACAAGGAGATCGGCGCTTGGTGCTACGAGAACTTCTCCTCGGGGCTGTCGGCCATCACCATGGCGCCGCTGACCCGCGCACACGGCTGGACGTCTGAAGAGGTTGAGCTGTTCCTCATTGATGTCAGGAAGGACATGGCGAACAGGTCGATCCATGCCTACTGGCCGATGTTCGTGCTCCCCTGTCTACTTTTGGGTTCATTGCTGATGATAGCAGCTATTCGCTTTATGGCAAGAAGCCACTGGCCGACACGACGGCGGCTGTGGTGGATGCGTGATGTCGCAATGGATACTATCGTCGAAGCTTGTGAAGGGCTGCGAGGGCCGTCACCTATCCTGCGATGGCGGCGCACCCCGAGAGCACCTTTCGTTGTTCCTATCTCTTATTTGGTAAGGGAATAGCCGCCGCGGGCTTGGAGATAAAAGCAAATCCTTGGTGTTGACAAAGTCGAGTTCGTCAGATGGCGTCATGTGGATGCGTGATGTCGTGCCGCAGACTTTTGCGGACCTTGGACCAAGGATTACTTTGAAACTTCTCTGATTGAATCGCACACGTGGCGAAGGCTCCAGTCGTACGTGCCCAGATAAGAGGTCTCATCCATTGCAGTATCGGTGACGAAACTTGGTCCAATCCGCAGGCCAAGTGGCCGAGATGCACCCCGGAGGGAGCCTGTTAGCGTCGGGATGAGGTGCTTCAGGGGCCGATGATCCGCGGTACAGGCCCCTGGCATCGTCCCGGGCGCTAACGGGAGGAGCTCCGCCAACTAGTTGAAGTGTATTCAAAAGGCTTGCCGTCTCCGTGTAGCTGGCTGAACTCGTTGACTTCGTGAACACACACCAGCCCAGGCTTCAGCACAAGGAGCACGTCGGCCTCCATTCGCCCTCCGCCCTACACTGCCATGGTGGCTACCAGTCTCAAAGACAGCGAAGTTGCCGAGCATGACAGCCCCGAGTCCTGCTGGGTCATCATACACGTACGAGCATTCGACCAGTTCCCCCCAAAGTCCAAGCTAGCTAACAGCTCACCCTGTAGGGCAAGGTTTACGACATGACAGACTTCCTGCCAGGTTGGTGCAGCTTTCCTCTGTTGTATGACTGTAGCTCACTCATCATCTGATCTCCAGATCATCCCGGTGGCGAGCAGTCAATCCTGAAGCATGCAGTGAGTTTGCCCTACGATGGTCTTGCAGAAGGCGGTCTAACATGACCAAGGGCAAAGATGCAACGGCAGCCTATGATCCCATTCATCCAGCTGGAATACTGGACAAATTCTTGGACCCCTCCAAGCACCTCGGGCCCGTCAGCCTGTCGAGAGCTCCCAAAGCAGGCATCTCGTGGCCATCAGCTCGTCCATCCACCGAGGTGCAACAGCCGGCCAAGCCTAAGAGCGACCCTCGGCGAAGAGACGAAACCCAGTACCCGCCTCAACCTGCCGACAAGCCACCGCTATCCCACTGTCTCAATCTCTTCGACTTTGAAGCGGTGGCACGACAGGTCCTGAACCCAACATCGTGGGCCTACTTCTCCAGCGCCGCCGATGATGAAATTACCCTGCAAGAGAACCACCGAGCCTTTCATCGCGTCTGGTTCCGCCCTCGAGTTCTCAATAATGTCAAGCAGGTCGACACCTCAACAACGCTCCTCGGTACCAAGTCAGCTCTTCCCTTCTACATCAGCGCCACAGCGATGAACAAGCTCGCCCATCCCGACGGCGAGCTTGCTTTTACGCGTGCTGCGGGCACCCATGACATCATTCAAATGATCCCAACCATGTCGTCTTACTCCCTTGACGAAATTGTCGACGCCCGCCGAGATGAGAGCCAGCCCCAATGGATGCAACTTTACGTCAACGAGGATCGGGAGGTCACCAAGGAGATCGTCGAGCAGGCCGAAAAGCGCGGGTGCAAGGGGCTGTTCATCACGGTGGACAATCCCCAGGTGGGACGGCGCGAGAAGGACATGCGAGCTCGGCAACTCGAGGCCAGCCGTAATGGCGAGGAGTGGCATGCGGAGGTATACCAGGGAACCTCGACGTTCCTTGACTCAACTCTCTCATGGGACGACATCCCCTGGTTCAAGAGCATCACCAACATGCCCATCGTTCTCAAGGGAATCCAGAGCGCTGAAGATGTTCTCAAAGCCGTTGAGTACGGGGTTGCCGGCGTCGTGCTCTCGAACCACGGTGGGCGACAGCTCGAATTCGCCCGCTCATCGCTTGAGATTCTCGCCGAGACGATGCCTGTTCTGAGGGAGCGCGGACTGCAGGACAAGATTGAAGTATTCGTCGATGGAGGCGTGCGCCGTGGCACCGATGTCATCAAGGCGCTCTGCCTAGGGGCTCGCGGCGTCGGGATTGGCCGCGGCTTGCTCTACCCCCTGGGTGCGTATGGCCAGGAGGGTGTTGAGAGGGCTATCGAGTTGCTGCGGGGTGAGATTGAGCGAGGTCTGCGTCTTCTGGGAGTCAAGAGCGTGGGTGAGCTCCATGCTGGTTTGATCACGACGGATAGTTTGGCTAAGCACTCGGGATACCATGTCGATGGGCCTGCTGAGGCGACGTATGAGGCACTCCAGGTTGTTGCGCCGGGGGGCAAGTCAAAGCTGTAGACATTTGCAGGAAATGAAGCTGAAAGGACAAGTGCCAACGTCGTCACTTATGCCCTGCGCTAAACTTCATTTCAGATTTCCCTTCCTCGTATCTTCTTGATCCCCTTACCTTCAAGTGTTCTGGTGCTCATTGAGGGCACTATTGTGACATTTGACATCTCCCGCAAAGTTACGCCTGCCTCCGAATGCCCACTGCGAGCGACCTGCAGCATGCGATGCCGGAATGGCTCAGTGGTAGTACGACAGCCCACCCAGCATCCACGAGATCTCCACTAACAAGCAATAGGAGCGTCGCACTCGTAGACACGATGACATGCGAAGGCCCACGGTTCGATCCCGTGTTTCGGCACACCAACCTTTTTGCTCCAGGCCCTCAGGTGTGGGCATCTCCTTTTCGTTGTTCTGAAGATCGCCAGCAATTGACTGTGGTCAACTCCATACGCCAAGTTCCCAGGGCGGCGATGACCGCACCGCCAAGGGGTGGTGTGTCGATCTTATATCCCCGCGTGTCAAGGTGCTTCGCCCGGGTGGACGGTGTCTGCCAAGTGTATGGCCGTCATTCGTGTCACCCTAAGCCGGTGAACCACCATGGCAAGCATTCCTTCCTTTCGCCAGGAAACTACTGTCGAACCACCGTCCATATTCGTCGGACACTTACGTCCGATTCGTGCCGCAGTGTCGCCAAGAGAAGTCACGGCCCGGAAGGATCATTGCATACGCGCATAAGTGCCGCCGGCAAACGCCCAGAGCCCATGTCTCAAGCATATTTTGAGATGGGCGATGGGATGGGGCGAGTGCCTGGTGTATAAGAAAGGCAGACCAGCAAGCGAAGCTTGAATGCTGCAACTCTGACATAAGAGTATCATGTCGCTCGTCAGTATGTATGCCTCGAACTACCATATCAGCACGTCTGTTGCAACAGTCTTCATGGGACTGGCTGCTCCTGTGGTCTTTGCACAGTCAGAAGCCAACACCACCACATGCGGCTTCAACGAAGTCCCCGGCGTCGTGGAGGGCGGGTTCTACCACAACGCCTCCGCCAACGAATCGTTCTCCGTGCACGGCTCCGTGCACGGCTCGGAAAACTGGCGTTTGACCCTCACTCTGAGTGAACAGCGCCGAGATGAATACAACATCAGCTCATGGGGCTCGTCGAGTGACGTACCGATCCTCAACTACCTGCTCAGCGTCCCGGAGACTTACCTCGACGCGTCCGCGGAAGAGGAGGCCACCACTTACGTGTGTATCTACCCCATATCCGGAAGAAACTACTCTTCGGACGGTGGTGGAGAGGAGCTCAGGAACAACCTCGCCTTCTCCAGCTACGGGTGCAGCGGCGTCTTGAGCGATGAATGCCTCAGCGCGCTGGGAAGCATGAACCCTCCAAGTGCTGGCTCCAGGACCTGTCCACTTCAGAGCGATGAAGCCACAGAGGCCTGTGGGTTTGGTCCTAACTTCAGACCGGGTAAGTTCTCCGAGGCCTGAGCTGAAGTGATTCTCACGCTGACACGGTCCATAGGTGGAGCGAGCACCTTCAACGACGCGGGGTATTGCAAATCGGCACAGCTCCCTGGAGTCGATTTTCCCGAAGATACGAGGCTTTTTGATCTGTTGACCTACTATTACAACCGACCTAATAGTAGTGCGGACCCGGATGAGAATTACGACTTGCATCTCCGGCAATCGTTCCCGGTGTTTCTCACCATCAACACGTGGACGCGGGGGTTACAGCGCTTAGACAGAATCGTGACGTGTCTTTCCCCGGGCGACAACATTGTCCAAGGGAGCCGTCAGCCTGAAAGGGAAGTGTTCTCATCGTTGAATGATTCGGAAGATGATGATGGCGATGAGGGCAATGGTGGCAGCGAGGATTCGAATGACGATGATTCTGGAGCTGTCGGTCGGCGTCTTTCAGGCTTGGCGCTGCTGCCCATTGCACTGGCCCTGGTACATCTGTAGGGGGTGCAAGGCTGTCAATAGCAAAGACTTGTAGAATGGAACATAACCTGAGATTGAATTGATGGGAAGCAATGCCTGTCACGCAAGGTTGATGAAAGAAAGAAGTGACGATGGACCCTGGCCCGATGGTGCCTGCCAGATTGAACTACCCCGCGGCTCCCCCCCTGTTGCTGCCTGTTCGCCCCCTGTAGCTCGGGTCGGGGTCGCCCAAATCCGACGACCACTCGCCCGAGACAGACGTCACATCACGAAAATCGCTCTCCACGACCACTTCATTTCTAGGGAACGACCGAACACCCGTCGCTCGCTACCACCATGGCGCTGCCCAGTGGCCCGATTCCCACGTATCGCATCGATGTTTCTCTTCCGCCCGAACAACGATATGTCGAAGTAGCGCGCGACTTTGCCCCGCGCATGCGCGATGTTACCACAGTCTTCGACGAGCTCCTCGAGTCAATCTTCCGGTATCCCTTTCTCTGTCGCGTCGTTAGGTTCGCTGCGAAGACACTATTCCGGAGACTACACGATGACGAACAAAACCGGGAAGTCAAGAGCATCGCCAAGATCGCCGGCGTCGAACTCTACCTCATCATCGCCCTCAACGTCCTTCTTGACGCGCTCATGGGCTGCACGGCGGGGTGCATCCTCACCGAGCCGCGCCGCAGCAAGAACGGTATCCCGGGAACCAGATTGATGCATTTCCGAACCCTTGATTGGGCCATGGATCCCCTCAGAGAGCTGCTCATTGTCGTCGAGTTTGTGGACGCGACACTGGACCCGGACCACGTCATCGCCACCTCGGTCACCTACGCTGGGTTTGTCGGCACTCTGACGGCTGCCAGGTAGGCTCCCCCCAAGACTCCTAAACGCACACATACTGACGAATACCCAGACCCGGCCTTTCTCTCTCCCTAAACTACCGGCCAACACGACAGTGCTCTAAGAAATCGCTGCGCAAGCACCAGCTTCTAGTCCTCCTCGGCTTCCGCCCGTCAATCTCGTCCATCCTGCGTTCCGTTATTCTTGACCGAAAGACCTGGGCTCTCGAGCCGTCATCAACAAAGGATGACGCGCCGTCTCCGCTGGTATCGCTCGCTCGACGTCTCGCCAAGGCCCCCTCGTCGCCATGTTATCTCACCCTCTCAGACTCAATCGAAGGTGTTGTCATCGAAAAAGACTTGTACGGCGGAAAGTTGAAGACATCCAATCACTTCATCGTTCAAGCGAACCACGATACGCACACGCCAAGCTGTTGTCGACGAACCTCTGACTCACCATCAGAGCCAAGCAATGCCCAGACAGCCCTCCTAGGTCAGGAGCTCTTTCTGGAGGACTCTGAAAATCGCATGGGCATGATGCAAGAGAAATGGCTGCTTCATACGGTCGGCAGCAGGAGTACGAACCCGAGCGAGGTCGAGGACGAGGATAAGAATGGCCTCTGCTTGAACGAGGGGGTTCACAGCCCGGACTCACGGCCAAACAAGGGTGTCAGGGAAAGCTTCCTTGAAGAGTGGATGATGGAGTTTCCTATTATCAATGAGTGTACTCATTATGCATGCATCATGGACCCCCTGACGGGGCAGGTCCGGTGGCTACAACGGGGCCTGATAGAGTATGACCCCAGGAACCCACGGTTTTAGTCTGAACCTGTCGAGAGTCACTACGGACCACACACGCTGGAGACGCTCACTGTCGGTCACCGTATGTATTAGGCACCCTTCGGCACCACTCAACCTATGTACAAAAGTATAATTTATGTTCAAGAACAAAGCCGCCCCTTTACACTTCCGCCTGCGTGGTCGCGCCAATGGCGGCGCCCGAGGCAGGGACCAAGAAGTTGCTGCCCCTGACCTTGCCGTTCGAGCCGCGAGCACCCTTGAGGGTCGAGGCATCGGTGCTCGAGAAGGAGCTGTCCGACCACGAGCCCGACTGCCACGAGTTGCCCGAGGCGGAGACGGTGCTGACGAGGGTGGCCTGAGAGACACCGTTGTTGACGCCAATGTTGCTGCGGAGGGTGGAGGAGGAGCTGCGCATGTGGAAGCCAATGTCGCCGTTCTTCCAGGCCGTGTTGCGCTCCATGGTCAGCTTGCCGGGGTTGCCGTTATCGATGAAGCCCTTCTTGAGGTTCTGGAAGGCCATGCAGTTGCGGACAATATGGTTGGCGGGAGGGTTGTCGGTGATGCCGAGCTTGAAGCCGTTGCCGTCGCCCTCGAAGGGGCTGAAGCCCCAGCGGTTGACGCCGTTGCCCCAGGCGTAGACCTCCTCGAGGGTGACGGGGCTGCCGAACATGAAGAGATCGAGACCGTCATCGACGTTGTCCCAGAGACGGGCGTTGCGGAGCACGTTGCCAGTGCCCGAGCCGCTCTTGCAGGCGAAGCCGTCGGCGGACTCGCCGTTCTTGCGGGGGTCGCGGTTGCGGTAGGAGTCCAGGTTCAGGACGGTGTTGTTAGACGAAGCGCCCTCGAGCTGGAAGCCGGTCTCGTAGTTGTCGTGGGTGGACAGACCCTCGTAGTAGTTGTGCGAGGCGTCGCGGGCGTAGATGCCGTACGGGCCGTTGATCAGCCTAGACAGTGTTAGAGGAGGAGAAGCATGGGGCGAGGAAGGGGCTCGTACTCGAGGTTGTAGAACGCCCAGTACTGGGCGTTCTGGATGTGGAAGATGCCACGCTCGCCGTTGGGGAGGGCCTCATCCAGAGCCTTGGGGGTGCTGGGGGAGGGTGTTAGTGGAAGCTTGACTAGAAGTAGGACTTGAGAAAGACTCACCCAGGCATGTTTTCGCCATTGATGATGACCTTATCCGTGTTGTAGGGGCGGACAGTGATGGGAGATGTCCTGGTGCCGCTCTTGCCGACCTGGATGTTGGTCGAGGGGGCATAGGTGCCAGCCCGGAGGAAGATGGTGTCACCAGCGGCAGCAGCGTTGACGGCAGTCTGGATGGATCCGTAGGGGCTCTCGAGAGTGCCGGAGCCGTTACCCGTGGGGGAGACGTAGATGCTCTTGGCTGAGACGCCGGTGATGAGGGCAAAAGCCCAGGTCTGAGGGACGCGCATTTCGTCTGAAGAGATGCTGTGAAACGGGCGGGAAAACAAAGTCTAATCCACGGCACTGCAAAACTCAAAACCAACCACTGGAACGACCGGACGAAAGCTTGGCCTTATAGCACATGGCGACTCGTACTGCCCCTCAATTCCTGCTATCGGGCTCGGGCATGACCCCTTTTTCCGCCCTCTCATTCCCCCGTATCCCTGAATGATGGAGGATAGTCAATCCCCCAATTACCGCGAGCCCACCCTTCCACTCTCAAAGGGCAGGTGTTGGATAGGTGCCTCCGAGTGGTGGACTTGGTGATGGACAGCCTCTCCGGAGCCAGGTGCTCCGCAAAGAGAGTCAG